AAAAACACATGTGGAGCCCGCTTCCCCGCCCCAGCCCGAAATCCGAGTCGTCGGGCGGGGTTGCGGTGGTCTGGTATAGGTCGTCGCTTTCCTCGTCTTTGGGGCTTCCCGGGGCTCTCCACGAGCCCCCGGGACTGGTCAGGAAACGACTCGGGATGAGGAGCTGGTCCCGGGGAAGGCCCCAGGGCCCAGGGCCCGTGTCCCACAGCGCACGTCTCCCCCATGCCCATGCATGAGGAGGAGGAGGAGGAGGAGGAGGAGGAGGGAAGGAGGAGGAGGAGGAGGAGGAGGAGGAGGAGGAGGAGGAGGAGGAGGAGGAGGAGGAGGAGGAGGAGCGGAGAGGGGGAGGGACGACGATGCTCATGGCGGATATCTGCGCAGGTCCCCCCCGCAGGGGCGCGGAGGTTCCTCGTGCTCTGCGCTGCTCGGCCTGGGCCGGAGAGCGCGGCCCTTCTGCACGACCCCGTTGGAGATCGCAGAGACGAACATCGGCACGAACGAGATGGGTACGGGAAGAATGGGCACAACGCCCAACAGCAGTTCTTGTTCATGTTGAACAGGACTCGCTGTCCGCGCCGCCACGGCCTGTGTCCATTTCAGAACAGGCCGCCTGCCCAACAGCGGCCGCTGTTGGTTTGGGACACCACTTGTTGTTGGGCATTGTACCCATTTGTTCCGTACCCATTTCGGGCGTCTAAAAAGGAGCGATCGAGGGGCGGTCCTGGACAGGTGAGAGGGGGAGGAGGTGCCGACGGAGGGGGAAATTGGAGAACGGTGGACAGGCACGCCAGGCGCTGGCTGTTCCTCGACTCGCCTACGGGCGTCGTAGCGGACCTGGAACCTCTCTCAAGGTGCCCCTTGTCGTGTGACGCATAATCTCACGAGGGAGATGCGTGCATTGAGGGGGAGGAGGAGGAGGAGGAGGAGGAGGAGGAGGAGGAGGAGTAGGAGGAGGAGGAGGAGGAAGAAGAAAAAGAACAAGGAGGAGGAGGAGGCAAAGGAGCACGAGGACGAGGACACGGGAGGGACACGAGGGTGGCGGACGGGTGGAGGCATGGGGAGAGGGCGGGCAGGAGCGAGGAGTGGGAGGGGCCGTGACGACGAGGACGGAGGCCCGTGCACCTCGAGCGCGTGCGGCTTATTGGTGCCCTGCGGCACATCCAAGCGTCGGCGTGTTCGGTGACCCGGCTTCGCTGTGGGTGAGAGGACGGAGGGAGGATGGAGGAGGGCGGGAGGAGCCGCTCCTCCCCCTCCACAGCCCCAGCGCCCCTGCTCGCCTTCCCTCCTCGCCCCACCACCACTCCCCCCGCGGGGCCCCGCGGGAGTCGCCGGCGTTCGCCGCCAGGCTCGCGCGGCCCCCTGCGGAAAGAAGCCCACGCCTGCCGCCCCGCGGGGGGGACTCCATCCGACCATCCATCGCTCATCCCCCGCTCCATCCCCCCTCCTTCGCCCGCCCCCTCCGCAAAGTTCTCGGCCCCCGTCTCCTCGACCCCTGGGCGCCCATCCCCGCTCGGCTCCCCATCCCCACGCTGGGCGTGCCCTGGCCGTGGCCAAAAAAGGGCCCCGGCTTCGCGCTGTTTTGTCGCTGGCGGACCCCGTGGCCGCGACAGCTGCTTGCTTGCGCACAGGCGCCAGGCGCTTGGCCCGAGGGCGTGGCGTGTCCCTCTACAGGAGGGATCGCCAAGAGTAGTACAACAGATTCCGGATTCCTTCATCAGCGTCGGCGGGGCGTCACCCCCGCCGACAGCCCTACGTCGACCCCCGTCGCGGGTAGCCACCGCGCGCCGGAGGCGCTCCGTCCCGCGACGAAGAGGCGAGGTCGACTCCCGTCGGAGGGGTAATTACCCCCCACGTTTAAGAAGAAATACCCGAGTGGCCAAGCGACGGTTGTTCGTGCTCTTTTGACTATGTTTGGTTATTGTTCCCCAATCAGTGCTTGCACTGAAGGTGTCCCAGCGGAAGCTGAAAGGTTTGGCGAAAGTTTCCCGCCGATGTTGGTAGCAGGCTGGGTTCCGGGGTTCCCGCTTCCCGGTTCTTGGCTATTGGTTCCTGGCCGGGTTCTGGGGTCCGGGGCTCCCGGTTCCCCGGTCGCTGTCCTCAGCGACAACCATCCACAGATTGGGGTCTTTCTCTTTGGTGTAGTGTTGATTCTGTTTGGAAGTTGTCCTCAAAATCCGCCTGTAGGAGCACATACCTTCGTTGTCTGTCGATGGGAGCCTCATTGAAATCAGCTTTTCCTGCATTTGGACCGCATTTGGCCCCGTCTCCTGCTCCTCCTCGCCCTCCCTGCTCCTCCTCCCCCTCGTTCTTCTTCTCGTCTCCCTTGTGTGCGGGCGACTCCGGTCCAAATCCGGTCCCGAATGTGCTCCACATCTGGCCCAAATCCAACCCACATCGGGCAGCGCCAGGGGGCACGTCGGCTCCCATGGAACAGACACCAAGCATACAGTCAACGCGCATAGTAAGGACGCGCGCCGTTTCTAGGATACCTTTGTGTCCTTGCCTCTGCGGCCCGTCCTTTGCTGTTTCCCCTGGCCAGCCTCTCAGGCCGCCGCCCAACAAATCCCAACCTCGGCCTCCAAGGGTCTCGCGTCCTTACCACGCGTCCTTACTACACGTTTTCACTGTACCCGACCTCGGCCCAGCGCGGGGTGCGCTCGGCCGCCCTCGAGCGCTCCTCTCGGGGCGGCGGGCGGGCCCTTATATGGCGCGCCGCGCCCGGTCGGGGCGCGGCCGGGCCGACCCGCATGGCTGCGGGGCGCCCGCATCGGAGGAGGAGGAGGAGGAGGAGGAGGAGGAGGAGGAGGAGGAGGGGGGCTCCGTTCCTCATTCAGCGTTCCTTTTTGCAGCAGCTTGCCTGCATGCCATCACCCAGACCACCCAGCCGCGGTGGCGCAGCCCTGCGGAAGAACTGCGCCCCGCCCCTCGGTGCGCATGGGCAGTAACACGAGGCACGACATCCAGCTCCAGCACCGCTCCTCACAACAGCACGCCCTCCACCCCACGATGCACGTGCAGCTGCCCCCCGGAAAAGCACCGCACCTCTGCCCGCCAGCTCGCACTTCACGACTGTCCTTCACGCCGGCGCGGGCCCACGCGCCCCCCCCCTCCACCCCCTCGCCGACGAAGCACACCGCAGCATTGCACGTGCGTGCATCCGAGCGCAGGGCACGTGGGCTTTGTAGGAAACGGCCGTGGAACCCTTCCGGCCCAAGCGGGGAGGTATCCAACCCGAGTCAGCGTGGCTGCGGAGGGGGCGGGGGATGAAAGGGAGGAGAGGGAGGAGAGGGAGGGGACGGAGGAGGAGGAGGAGGAGGAGGAGGAGGAGGAGGAGGAGGAGGAGGAGGAGGAGATGAGTAGGAGGATTAGAGTTGGAGGAGAGGAGGTTGATGAGAGAGGAGGAGGAGGAGGAGGAGGAGGAGGAGGGTTAGGAGGAGGAGGGGGAGGGGGAGGGGTAGGGGGAGAGGGATGAGGAGGAGGAGGAGGAGGAGGCATGAGGAGGAGCAGGCTGCTCATGACCAAGCACGCCAGCAAACCGTGCCGCTTGTCCTCGCAGTCCGAGCATGGGTGTCCACTCCTTCACGCTGGTGCAACACGGGGTCGGGGTGCGCACGGGCCCAAGGCCGCCTCATACGGCCATCGGCAGATTCCCCTCCACGGGCCAGGGATCGCCTTCTCCAGCCCCCGTCGGCCGTTTGGCGTGCCATGCGGTCGGGGCAGTTGGAAGCGCGTGCTGCTGGAGCAGGCCAGGGTATGGGGAGGGCTCTTGCGAACCACGGAGCGGTGGCCGTACCTTCTGGTCTTGTGGCCCATCATCAGGATCAGCATCAGCATCATCATCACCAGCATCAGCATCAGCATCATCGTAAGCATCAGCATCATCATCATCATCATCATCATCATCATCATCAGCATCATCAGTATCATCAGCATCATCATCAGCAACATCATCATCATCATCATCATCGTCATCATCTTCATCATCATCCCCGTCATCATCATCGTTATCGTCATCGTCATCATCATTAGCAGCATCATCATCATCATTTGTCCCATCCGTCCCACTCCTCAATCTCCTCCCCCTCCTCAGCCACCTCTCATCCGTCTCCTCCTCCTCCTCTTCCTTCGTCTCCTTAATCTCTTCCTCCTTCTCGTCTATCCTCCTCTCTCCGCCTCTCTCGTCCTCTCTTTCCCTCCTCCCCCATCCTCCTCCCCCTTGTCCACATCCTTCTCCTCCTCCTTCTCCTTCTCCTCCTCCTCCTCCTCCTCCTCCTCCTCCTCCCAACTCGTTATGCTTGCTTATCCGCCTCCTCCTCCACCTCCTCATCCTCATCCTCCTCCTCCCCCTCCTCCTCTTCGTCCTCCTCCTCCTCGTCCTCCTCCACCACCTCTTCGTCCTCCTCCTCCTCCTCCTCCTCCTCCTCCTCCTCCTCCTCCTCCTCCCAGTCCTCCTCCTCCTCAACCCCCCCCTTCCACTCCTACCCCCTTCCACTCCTCCCAACTCTCAGGTTCCTCCGAGCTTGCTCCCCTTCCTCCCAGGCTCCCTCCCAGTTCTACCAAGTCCTCCTCTTCCTCCTCATCCTCCTCCTTCTCCTCCTCCTCCTCCTCCACCCAGTCCTCCTCTTCCTCCTCCTGCTCGGCGGAGGGGTGGATTGGACGGGCAGTGGCCGCGGGCCCGCGGTCTGCGGCCCAGTGCGCGGCGCAGGACGTCGTCGCAGGCATGCAGCAGATGCTGCACTACATCGAGGACCGGGTTGCGCGCCGCCGGCGGGTCGCGAGCGCCAGGTGTTGCCCATCCTCTCCCCATCTGCCCCTCCTCCCTCCTCCTCCCCTTCTCTCTCCCCCATCCTCCTGCCCCCCTCCTTCCCCCCCCCACCCTCCCTCCCACCTCCCATTCTCGTCCCCCCCCCGTCTCTCCCAATCCCCCTCCTTCCCCTCCTCCTCCCCCTCCTCCCCCTTCTCCTCCTCCTTTTCCTCCTCCTCTTACTCGAACGGTGCACTTTGCATACTTCGTACACTTCGTAGACTGCCCACAGGATCACGGTGCAGCACAGGAGCACGGCAGCCCCCGCAGGAGCACGGCAGACAACTCAGGAGCACGGCAGACCAAACAGGATCGAGGTTGTCTACAGGGACACGGCAGATCACAGGAGCACGCTAGACAAGATGAGCACGGCATAACACAGGAGCATGGCAGTTGGCAGGAGCACGGCAGACCGCGCAGGAGCACGGCAGACCACGCAGGAGCACGGCGGGGATGGCTCCTCCTCGGATAGCGGCGGCGCCCCCTTCGGGTTCGGATGAGGAGCAAGGCTCGAAGTGCGTCCAGGCCCTCGGAGCCGATGCGGAGTCCGAAGGGGTCGTAGGTGCTGGTTCGGGACTGGCTGCGAAGCGCGGCGAGCAGGAGGGCGGGCCCAAGGGATACGACGCCGAGCAGCACGACTGTGTCGAGCAGCGGGACGGCGTGTGCGGAAGGATGGGCGAGCAGGGCTCGGCCGAGTTCTTCGACATCGGGAGCGTAGGCTCTCCCTCCGAGGGCCTGCCTTTCGTCGAGGAGCCCGAGGTCGAGTCCCAGGAGGGCGCGGAGTCCGTGGTGGTCGACCTGGCGGCGCACGGCGCGAAGGCCTCGCAGGGAGTACGCAGGGCTGGCGACCTCGACGAGGATGCGGAGGCCAAGCGCGGCTCGAGCACGCCCGTGGTGGAGTCGACCGCGGGCGCAGTGCAGGCTCAGGCGGAGACCGAGGCGCTCGGCGCCGCCATGCTGGCGAGGGATGCCCTCCAACGCGGCGACATCGCCGAGGGCCTTCGGCTGCTGGAGGCGGCACAGGCGAAGCACCTGGAGAGCGTGCCCAGGCGCCCTGGCGAGTGTTCGGAGTGATGTTCCTCCTTTCCCTGATCATGTGTAGTTTCTGTTATTTTGCGCAGTGCTTGCATGATTCTGGTGTTGCCAGTCGAATGGGATATTGTGTAGTAGCTGTTCCTCTCTGTGCTGCACTAGATGTGGTCTTGTGTAGTATGTGCTCTTGTCAGTGCTGCAATTGATGGTTTGTCTTGTGTAGTATATGCCAGAGGCTTCGCCTTTCTGTCTGTGCTGCACTTGCTGGGAGGGGGCCCAAGGCGGCCTCCTCGGGAGGGGCGGCCCTTCCGCGGCCCCCCTCTGTTTTTTGTTTTTCCCGCCTTTAAGGTCCCGACTACAACTACAACCACAGGAGCGCAGCAAAACACGCCAGAGGAGCACGGCAGACCACACAAGGGCGCGGCATACCACACAGGAGCACGACAGACCACAGGAGCACGGCTGACCACAGGCGCCCGCCCGCCAAGCACGCAGCCCACACGCACACTGTCTTCCCCCCCCCCCCCGGCCGGCCGTCCAGCACACAGCCAGCACGCACGCGTGTCAGTCCACGGCAGCACCGGAGACCATCGCGGCACACCACAGGAACACGGCGGACAAGCACGGCAGACCACGGCAGCACGGCGGACCGGCACGACAGACTACGGCAGCACGGCAGACCAGCGCGTCAGACCACAGCGGCACGGCATGCCAAGACGACGACAGAACAGCGCGGCAGTCCAAAACAATGATTTGATGGGATTTGTGTTGGTCGTCTGCGATACGTTTCTGAGTTTCCTTGACGTTGTCTGACAAGCTTCGTGGACAGAGCTGCGCTTCCCGTTCTTGTCCGATCCGGTTCCCCCAATTGACGATTTCGCCTGAGACATCCTCGCACAAGTCACAGATTCGCGGCATTGCTCTTAACAGAACAGGCGTTCCGCTTGAGACAACCTATTTTTTTGGGAAGTCGCGACTTTTTCTATGTTCCAGAATGAGCGTTTCGCATGAGACAGCCATCTTGCCCAACAAACATGTCGGAAGAGGCGTTCGAATACCTCCGATGTTAAAAACGACACCCTCGATCGAGACATCCTCAGACCATTGGGAGGAGCACGGCACACCAACGTAGCTGTGTGTTTGACGTCGTTTCTAAACGTGCCCATTTCGCTGGAGGCATGCCTCACAAAATTGGCATGCTCCCAACATCGCTTTGATATCGCTACCGAAGTGTTTCAAGACCAAAAGAGAAGAGCCAAACAAAACCCAACATGGCCCGAACAGCGCCGTGAAGTGTGCCGACGATGATGCTTCCGCTAGAGGCGTCCTCGAACAAATGCCAAACACGATGCCATCTCTTGGAATCGTTATCACACAATGCGTCAAGACGGCCCAAACCAGCCTTCTTCAGGAGGGACAAAAACACACAGACACGATTAAGCGTCGACTCCAAGGAAAAATGCAAAATATGGGAAGTGGGGGGGGGACATAATCCCAGAACATGTGGGAACATATTGGGATTGTTGTTATGTGTGTGTATACATTTGTGTGTTTGTGGTCCCCTTCACTTCTAAAATTTGCGGTTTCGCCAGGGGCATCCTCAAACAGATGTGTCCACCATCACATCGTTACGATTCGTGTGGGCATAAAGGCGGCAACAAAGAGCCCCAACACGAGCCCCAAGATGACCCAGAGAACGCCCAGATGACGACCGATACTGACGATCTCGCTGGGGACATCCTCAAACAACTGCCCAATTTGGTATCATCGTTTTGACAAAGATGTTGAGCCATCGTCTTGGAACCGCTATCGCTTTGGAACCGTACTGGCAAAGCTATGATAAAGACGGCCCAAACCAGCTTTTGAAACACTTGCGATTTCTTTCGGGGCATCCTTCGAGAAACGCACGTGCCCAACATCGCATGGTACTGATTGTTGTGGGCATCGAGGCGGCCCGCAGCGCCCCACGATGACTCCAAGAGCGCCCTCAAAACGACCGAAAATGACGATTTCGCTCGGGACATCCTAAACTAACTCAGAGTTGACCAGCATCATCTCTAGCAGCAGCAAGCGTTTTGCCTGCTACATCCTCCCCAGATGGGGATTTCGGAGGATCGGCCCTACGACGATGTTCTCAAAAAGTAAGGCTCTGGCTGCAGACATCCTCAGGGAAATGGTATGTTGAAATTGTTCGCGATTTCTTCATTTCTTTCGGAATAAGGCTCTCGCTGCAGACATCCTCGAAACATGTAGCCTTGGATGAGCTGTTCACAAATGCGCGGCAGACCACACAGGAGCCCGGCAGATCACATAGCAGCACGGCAGGTCACACAGGAGTACGGCATACCACAGCAGGAGCACGGCAGACTAGACAGGATTTTGGCAGACAGCGCAGCAGCACGGCAGAGCACACCGGAGAAAGGCACACCCCACAGGAGCATGGCAGGCCAACCAGGAGCACGGCAGATTAAGACCACGCAGGAGCGCGGCAGACCGCATAGGAGCACGGCGGATCACACAGGAGCACGGCGGAACACACAGGGGCACGGCAGACCCCACAGGAGCACAGCAGACCACAGGAGCATTGCAGATCAGGATAGCACAGCAGAGCACCAGAGCACGGCACAATAACACAGGATCACGGCAGGCCACATTCCCCAAAATGGCAAGTTCGCTTGAGACATTCTCAGGACATGATACTGTCGCGACGTCTTTCTTAACAAAACAAGCGTTTCGCTTGAGGCATCCTTAATTTAACATGTGGGAATCCGCGAACTATGTATATTTTCGTAAATGCGCGTTTCGCTGAGACATCCTTGCTAAAAACACATGTTGGCAGAGGTGGTTTACTACCTCTTATGTTGACAACGACGCTCTCGCTTGAGACATCCTCAGATACTTGGGAGGAGCATTGCAGACCAACTTAGTTGTATGTTCGACGCTATCGTTAAAAACAATATTTGCGCTAGGGACATACCCACAACATTGGCTTACAACATCGTTTTGATATCGTTATCGAAGTGATTCAATAAAGATGATCCAAAGAGGGACCCCAAGATGGTTCCGAGAGCTCCCTCAGGAATGCCGAAAATGATGATTTCGCTAGAGATATCCTCAAATCATACCAAACATGGCATCATCGTGTTGAGAAGCTTCGGTTATAACATCGTCTTGGAATCGCTATCGCCAAGGCACCACGACGGCCAACACCAGCTTTCTAAACTTTGCGATTTCTTTCGGGACATCCTTCAAGAAACGCATGGGTCCAACATCAGACTATTGGTTGTTGAGGGCATCAAGGCGGCCCCCCAACACAAGCCCGACTATGACCCCAAGATCGCCCTGAAGTCTGCCGAACATAATGATTTCGCATGGTACATCCTCAAACCAACGCTAAACATGATGTCATTGCTCCGACAAGCTGCGGTTATAACATCGTCGTGGAATCGTTATCGCAAAGGCGTCAAGACGGCCCAAACCAGCCTTCTAAAGCTTGCGATTTCGCGAGGATCATCCTTGGAAAAACGTGTGTCCAACATCATAGTGCATCGATGCTTGAGTGCATCAGGACGGCCCGAAAGAGCCCAACACGAGCTCCAACATGACTCCGAGAGCGCCCTCAAGACGACCGAACGTGACGATTTCGCAGGGGCCGCAGGAGCACGGTAGACCACAGGCGCCTGCCCGCCCACTACGCAGCCCGCACGCACAGCGTATCTTCCCCCGCCCACCAAGCACACTCCCAGCACACACGCGTAGCGGACCGCGGCAGCACCGGAGAACATCACGGCACACCAGAGGAGTTTTGCAGAGAAGCGCGGCAGACCACGGGAGCACGGCAGAGAAGCACAGTAGACCATAGGAGCACAGAACACGGCAGCACGGCAGCCCATTTGGGCAGACCACAGCAGCATGGCAGACCAACACGACATGACAGCGCGGCAGACCAACACAATGACCGGGTCGGATCTGTGTTGTTCGTTTGCTATGCGTTTTTGGGGGATTTTCTTTGACATTCTCATCCCGACGTTGTCTCGGACAAGCTTCGTGGACCGTGCTGCGCTTCCCGTTCTTGTCTGGTCTTGTTGGAATCGCCCCTGGAGGGCTTCAAAATTGCCCCTGAGAGTCCCCGAAGACCCACCAGGGGACCATCAAAGCGCCCCAAGAGACCCCCAAGAGGCCCACAAGAGCAATAGCGCCCAAAGAGGCCAAGGGACTGCCCAAGAGGGCCCCAAGACGGACGGCCTGAGAGAGCCCCCATAGAACCCTAAGACATGCCCAGACAGCGCAAGGAGACCCCTGTAGCTCCCAAGAGGAACCCGACAGGCCTCCAAGAAGCCCCCAGGATGCCCCAAGATAGTCCCAGACGGCCTCAACAGCCCACAGGGTAGCCTCAACAGCTCGGAAGATCACGAGGATTGCTCATCTCTTCGACGTCCTTTTCGTCGGGGTCCTTACCGTCCGTCTTCGTCGTCGTCGTGGTCGTCCTTCGTTGTCTTCTCCTCCTCCTCGTCCTCCTCCTCCGCGTCGTTCCTCCCCGCACTCGTCCTCCTCCATCTCTTCCTCGTCCTCGCGCTTGTCTTCCTACTCGTTGTCCTTCTGCCCCCCACGCTGCCCTCCCCGTCATCCACGCTGCCATCCTCGACATCCGCCGCCTGGTCGTCGCCACCATCCTCGCCTTGCCCCCCCCCCCCACCCTACGAGCCCAGTGGACAACATCGGCGCTTCCCGTTTTTGTCCGATAAGTGATCAGGCTTTCCTGTCTCTTTCCTGCCCCCGTCCCCGCCCCCCCCCTCCTCCTCCTATTCCTTCTCGTCCTCCTTTATCTTTCCCCTCCTCCTCCTCCTCCTCCTCCTCTTCCCGCCCCTCCTCCTCCTCCTCTTCCTTCTCGTCCTCCTGATCCTTCCCCTCCTCCTCCGAATCCTCTTCCTCCTCCTCCTCCTCCGCCCCCTCCTCCTCCCCCCTCCTCCTCTTCCTCCTCCTCCTCCTGCTCCTCCTCACTCCCCCCCCGGTGCCCGCCTGCTCGCAGGAGAGCCAGACGGCCCTAAACGCCGCGCGGGCCCAGCAGGGCGGCGACGCGGCGGGGGAGCGGGCGGCCGCCGAGGCGGGAGGCGGTGCGGAAGGCGCGCCGCGGCCCAGCGCAGCGGGGTGCGACGGGGTCTCGCGACCGAGGAGGAGGGCGCGCTGATCATCATCGTCATCAGCACCATCAGTATCAGCATCATCAGCATCATCAACGTGTCATCATATTGTCACCATCATCACCGTCATCATCAGCAGCATCATCATAGTGACACCATCTTATCATCGTCGTTATCATCATAGTGCCATCATTTTGTCATCAGAATCATGATCAGCAGCATCACCATCATCGTCGTCATCAT